GATTTTGAATGTTTTATCTATCACAAGATCTCCTATTGTCAGAGTTAGCCAAGCTACAGTAGTTTAATTCTTGTTATCATCTTAGAATTTTCTTTTCTATGTCTGTTCATGAAATCTACTTAATCCTCATTAAGGAAAAGACATCCATATCAATGAATAATAACAAATGGAGATCAAAGTAGATATATCCAATAAATTAAGCTCAGAAATTCATAAATAATAACTCGATATAGCAATGGCATTTTGAATGAGGGAAGCCAACATATGGTAAAACAGCTCTAGACACAACACATGCTATCAACACAACAACACTGCATTCATGGCTCAAAATAGATTAGCAAACAGAATGAACAGCAAGCCAAATGCAAAATAATGAGGAGCAGGGGAGAGGAAAAGGAAGAGAGGGAGAAGGGGGAAGATATTATAAAAAACTCAACCATAAATGAAAAAGAAAAAGTCATCAAGGGCAGCTGGTATGTGTACAAGTATTATAATCCCAGTTCCAATGGTCTCCAAATCAGAACCACCTGAGAAGCATTTTAGCAATACATAGTCTCAAGTCCAAGTCACTGATATTCATATTTCACAGGCTTGGAGTTGAGACCTAGAATCTATATTTTTAACAACTATACCCAGCTATTCTGAATTTGAAAACTACTGATTTAGTCCCACAACCTGCATTTTGCAGACGAAGAAGCAAAGATCCCCAAAAATTCTTGATACCCAATCCAATAACCAGTGAAGATTCAGTTTCCATAGATTTTTTTTTTGGATACTAAAAGATCTCTCTAGAAGCGTTTTAAATATTTCAGAAAAACAGATGAATGAAATGGGCTGGTGGTATGATTAACAAGGACACCTGAATGTATTCTATAGACGTATTCCCCAAGGAGCGTTTCACTGTTTTAAAAGCACCTCACATCAAGCAAGTGCCATTCTATAACTCAAACTTTTGTTTCTATGACTTTAGTTCAAAGTAGAAATCACGTAGAGGGAAGTCATAGAGGCCACTTATGGAGTTATTGTAGAAATTAAGTAAGAAGTGGCCATATCTTGGATTCATGGGACTGCTATGTGAGGTCACAAAGCACAAGGGGGCTCTAGTCACACAGACTGCAGCATGAATGGTGCACCTGAAATGGTGCAATAAAACAAACCTGTGGGCTAAGGCAATGGAGGGAGGAAGGGAGAGAGACAGTTAAATAGTCGAAATTAAGATATATTTAGACATAAAAAGCATATAACTTAGGTATATAAGTAAATCATGAGTTTAAATGAATTGTAGATACATCTCTAAAATTGTATGTTCTTAGGATTATATTCTCTAGATTTCTCTGTTTTCCTTTCACATCATATCCTACATACTTGAGCTGTAGAACATTAAATAAAGAAAGAGAACATCTACTTTTAAAAAAGACTTATGGGGGCTGGCCCCGTGGCCGAGTGGTTAAGTTCGCGCACTCCGCTGCAGGCGGCCCAGTGTTTCGTTGGTTCGGATCCTGGGCGCGGACATGGCACTGCTCATCAGACCACGCTGAGGCAGCGTCCCACATGCCACAACTAGAAGGACCCACAACGAAGAATATACAACTATGTACCGGGGGGCTTTGGGGAGAAAAAGGAAAAAAATAAAATCTTTAAAAAAAAAAAAAAAGACGTTCTTTTTTGAATAAACATCCTCGTACACATATTCCCGTGATTCCTGTAAAAATAACAATACTTTACCATCTTAATTTCTGAAATAGCTCAAAAATAAATAAGAAAGTTCTTATGAATGAACAAATAAATCAATGGGTAAACAGTATAAAATAATCAAATATTTCAGAAAAACATCTTTTTTTAAAGACCTTTTAATTTCAAAAAAGTAGTATTTACCATTTAATCTCTGCTGAATTCCAAATCACCATTAAGTATTTTTCTACTTTATTTGATCTGACAAAGAAAAGAAACTAATGATATGAATAGCAGTCTCCTTTAAAAAAAAAAAAAATATTTGAGAATTTGGTATCAGTGTCCACAAAGTTAGAAAAGCAAGAAAAAAAGTTGTTACACTGAAGCCACTACCTAAGTTAATTTTGTTTATGGTCTCTCTGCTAACGTGCACTAGCTAAAAGACAAGCTCCAAATGTAGTATACACAATGCAGCCTTTGCAGGGTCTAATTTAGTATCTCCCAGAAAAGCAACAATCAGGTTTGCATGCATTGATTTTTTTTTCCACTAAAATCTCTTGTAGTTTATTGTTCGTGACTTAATTATCCATAGTTCTATAACTTTAATAAAACCTAACTCAATTAAGGAAGTTTAAATTTATTCCAAATCAGCTTGCAACACTTGCAAAAAAGAGTTTAGCAGAAAAAAGCTAAACAAGGGCAAAAGTTACCTTGTAAGATGACCTGTTGCTTGTTAATTTAAATTTTTTAAAAGGCCAATTAAAGGTCATTTGTAAAATAAATGACCAAGTAAAATTTTTGACGCTTGTGAGAATGAGCAAGTGTTATAAACAACTAGTTAGTGAAATATTCTTATGAAAAGAATGGATTAAGGTCATACTTTATGCTAACAATTACATGCTCAAACAGAGGCCCGACTAGTTATATGCTTGACAGTATTATCATCTACCCAGTCAGCCAACCACAAGCCTGAGTCAGAATTCGCTCAAAAGAACACTGACTGGACTCTGGACCAAGATGGCGACAAAAGAGGATTCTGAATTTCCCTCTTCCCACGTACGCTCGAAATGTACAATTCCCTCTGAGAGAAATCTAGAAGTCAGCTGTGGGACATGGGGCATAAAAGAAAATATGCACATCAAAATAGGTAGGAAAGGCTGAGATCATCTCTGGCCATAAACCCTACCCCTGGGGACAGCCCTATACAATCTTGGATGGAACCCTCTACTCCCAGCTTCTCCCCGAGGAGAGAAGAGTTTGGACCACACATCCAGTATCCCAGCATCAACTGCCCCACCTGAGGCATGGACCCCCAAGCACCTAGCTCTGAAAGCCAATGAAGCTTGCGTTCACAAGTCCCACAGGACTACAGCAAACAAAGAAGGCGCTCTTAATGGGACGGCAAGCAGCTGCAGCTGTCCCTACAGGGCTCAGCACAGAGGGAGCAGGAGCAAAATCCACCTCTTGCAGTTTCTCCCCGGAAGAGGCTGGACTGCATACTTCACAAGCTGCTGTCTGAGGGTCTGACTTCTGATTAGCATGCACCAGGGCTGACGACAATCCTCCCAGAGCCTGGAGGAGCCAGAAGGTACTTCTCCTGCCTTCTTCCTCCTGCTCACTCCAACACCACAACCAAGTCACCAGCATCCCCTGGAAGTAGTTTGTGCACACACAAGAGCCCTAACTGTTAAAGCTGCTGCCTGAGGAAGAAGCCCGCAAGTAACTTAGCTCTAAGAGCCCAGAGAGCTCAGCATTCAGGAGTCTCACAAAACAATGGCAAAGGGAGAAGCACCTGCTAATGAGCCAGCAAGTAAGCACTTGCCCACAGTGGCTATTCCCCCAGGGCTCAGCACAGAGGTGGCAGCCAAAAACTCTTCTCCAGGTTTCTCCCTGTAAGTGGCTTAACCTCATTCGTGTAGACGGCATCTTCTCTCAGCACCTTCACACAGTCTTCCCTCCCTAGTCTGTCTGTGTGCTAATCTCCTCTTCTTATAAAGACACTGGTCATGGTCATACTGGATTAGGGCCCATCCAATCGACCTCGTTTAATTTTAATTACCTCTTTAAACACCCTATCTCCAAATACAGTCACATTCTGAGACACTAGGGTTTAGGACTTCAATATATGAATTTGAGAAGGGACACCTTTCAGCCCATAACACCATCTGAAGCCCTCTTCCACAATCCCACTACCACAGGCCTAGTTGAGACCTGTCTGATGACGTCTATCCTGGAATTTCAGCCCCAGTCTACCTCCACTCTGTCTTCCACACTGCCCTCATTCTTACTTTATCTCTACCAGGATTTTAAAACGGGATAAAATTAGAGCCCTTAGAATATATTGCCCATGGGTCAGCTCCTGCCTGGAAAATAAATACATTGATAAAGTATGCCCTGAAAGCTTTTAAAGGTCTACCAGCCAAAACAAAACAAAATCATTAGTACTAGGGTTTAGTGCAGGAAAACATAATAAATTTACTTTTATTAAATGCCAGTTGTGACATTAGGAAAATTTCATATATACCAAAAGACCACACCTATACTCCCAAGTGCTTATGTTGATACTTTGTACTCAGTAGACATTTCGTTTCTTACCTATGAAATTTGTAAAAATTTAAACAAATTATACTACCTGCTACAGCTAAGGATCCAGCTCTTCTATTTTGCTTACTGCTATCTCCCAGGGCCCAGAATCTACATAAAATTATCAAATACTAGATTCCTGATAGGAGTGGGAATGATATAGCCCTTCGGAAAGTAATTTCCTCACATAAATTCAAAGCTTTAAAAATATTTATTGAGCTAGTAAGTCCAGTAACATTCTAACTTAAGGACATTATTCTAAATATGGAAATCTTTTACACAAAGAAATTCATTTCTGCACAAAAGTGTAACCCTGAGAAGAGAGTTTTGTGTTTATAAGCAGGTCAAATCTTGGATAAAATAACAATTAAAAATAATGGCTTAATAAAGGGCCACTTACTATGTGTCACACATTGAGCTGAGTGTTTTAAAAATATTATCTGATTCACTCATCACAATGCCAGGAATTAAATATTATTCCTATTTTTACAGACGGAGAACCTGAGACTTAGAAAGATTAAGTAACTTGTCTTTAAAAGAAGTAAATAGTGCAGCCTACTGAAATTATATCCAACTCCAATATTCAGGGACTAACAACTCATTTGTCTTTAAACCTAATAAACATTTCTTGGGCACGTACATGAATCAAGCATTTAGTAGCTACATCAGTGATTTTCAAACTTTTTGCTCTCAGACACATTTATACTTTTAAAAATGACTGGGCACCCCAGAGAGCTCTGGTTTATGTGAGTTATATCTGTTGATATTGCTGTATTAAAATTTAAAAGAAGAAATTTTAAAATATTATAATAAGACCATTGCATGTTAACATAAATGACATTATCATGAAATGAACTACATTTTCCTAAACTAAAAAACAAAATAATTAATTAATGAGAACAGTGGCATCCCTCCCTCCTCATTTTTGCAGATCTGATTAGTGTCTGGTTTAATAGAAGACTGCGGGATTCTCTTGTCTGTCTCTGCCTTCAGTCTGTGGAGACAACACCTATCGTGTGGCTTCTGGAAACTCTGTCATATGCTTGTAAAATAATGAGAGTGAAAAAAGCAATGAATATCTTAGATTTGTTATGACATACATCTTGACCTCATAGGTCTCCTGAAAAGGTCTCAGGGACTCTCAGGGGTTCCTAGCTGACACTTTGAGAACTGCTGAATTGGTTAATTGTCCAAATTTAAGCCACAGTTAAGTGATGGAGCCAATTTCCAAACTGCAAAACGGAACTGATACGAGGACTCATTGCCCTGATTTCCCACTTTTTTCAAGGCCACATTCCCTTCAAGTCTACGTTGCTCTCATTCTTTCCCTCTCTCTCACTCAGAACTTAAGAATTTAAATAAGTGTAGTATCCTTTCCAGGAGCCTTTGAATTTAAAAGAAGATAGCTGAAAGAAACAATTAACCAGATATAACTCACATAAACCAGAGCTCTCTGGGGTGCCCAGTCATTTTTAAAAGTATAAATGTGTCTGAGAGCAAAAAGTTTGAAAATCACTGATGTAGACAAATTATTCAGTAATAATGAAATCCCTGTTAGTGACTCCAGGTCAGCAAAGAAAACATTTTGGACGATGTGCCATTTCTAGCAGCTTCAACCTGTTCCACAGACGTGGACAGTTACTCAACCCAAGTTTGCTTTCAAGTTCTCATCACTCTTTCAAGATCTTTAAAAGAAGTAAATAGTGCAGCCTACTGAAATTATATCCAACTCCAATATTCAGGGACTAACAACTCATTTGTCTTTAAACCTAATAAACATTTCTTGGGCACGTACATGAATCAAGCATTTAGTACAATCAATATTTGGCAGTGCTGAGACATCAACCTAAGTTTTCTTATTCCAAGTCAATTGCTCTTTCCTATACATTGCCACTAAATAACGTTTTAAAGCAATCGATATAAATACACCCAAGAAGGAACATCACCACCCACTGTGCCAGGATATTCTCTCTCTCTCTTCTCCCTCTCTCTCTCACACACACACATGCAACCACACATACACAACATACACACACACACACACACACACACGCCCTTCCCTAGATAAAAACCAACAGAGCTAGACTCACATTTTCTGAAATAAAAAGACAAGTCACCGTTTGAACTTTGCTCTTTTGTGGCAAGATAGTCCCTTGATTGTAACAATGACAAAAAGCCTCTTGCTTCATTTCCATTGATAATAGCACTCTGGAGCTATTGAGCTGTCACCACGCATCCCTGACTATTCTTGATGTTTTCCATTCAGTGTCTCAATCCTTACAATAACCTGCCAGTTAAGTACTATTATCTCCATTTTACAAATGAGGAGACTAGTGCTCAGAAAGAGTAAATAACTTTCCACAGGTCACACAGCTATTACATTACAGAGCTGGAATTCCTACCCAAATTCCTCTATGTGTAATGCCTCAGATTCTCAACCGACTCTTCATCCTCCTTTGTAATCTTTATTATTATTAATTGTGTATGTGGTATGAGAAATGGAATTACTTACTTGGCGGTCACATGGCTTGATAGCCCAGGGTAAAGGTGGTGGCTGGATATGGTACACAAAGAAATGGGGAAAATCAAGTTTTATTCCTATTATCTTCTAGCTGACTTTTCTTCTAAGATAGTTTTAGTTCCTACTGTGTTATGGTTCCTCAAAAGTTTAAACAACAGGTCATGAAGCAAAAGAAATGATTCATAGCAGTATTTATTCACCCAGCTATTCTGAGTTCAGTAAAAAATAATAAATTGACTCTCTTTTTAATGTTAACTGAGACACTAGAGAGGCCTCACGCAATCTAGAGAGTACGGAAAGAAATATGGACAGTGGCAAGTACAGTTAATTGAACATTTTATAGAACATTGAGAGAGTTCAGGGAAAGTGCATTTCCCATTTTTTATCTTCCCATGTTTAATGAAAATCCACCTATTATGACTGCATAGCAAAAGAAGAAATAAAAGAGAATTATCATTTTTATTTCTACTTAGTAGCTCATCCAAGCATTTGAGTCTGCCGGGTTTAGAGGCAACACACGTGCAGTCATTTGAAAGAGACAGGAGAGAGCACAGACATCTGCCTTCAACCTCCCTCTCCCAAACTAAAACCTGCCTTTCCCTGACTGCACAATTTAGCCTTTAAAGTAAATTTTGAAATAGGCAAAGATTTCCATCAATTTCGGGGACTCCTGTTACGTGCTTTCTCCCATCTTTCCAGTGGGGTGCCCGTCTCCATTCTCCCTTGGGTATCTGGTGCCCAAATAAACTAAAAAATAAATACACTTGATCAGCTTTGGTGGAATATGAGACCAGCGTTCTGATACCACTTGCATTTCATTGATAATAGAAATCAATAGGTTAGAAGAAAGCCCTAGGATGAAATTTCAGGAAAGGTGATCATTAATTAGCAGCTGTGTTTTTGAAAAGCAAGTCCAGTCATACTGCTACCTTTTTAACCTAATCATTACATTTTTAAATCAAATTTTCAGTAGCAAAGTGTGTATAAGTCCTGATTTCATTTTCTGCGAATTCACTTCCTGGTAACTATCTGTCTTCCATGAAACATTTTAAAGGACATTTCATTTAAATTTTTATAGCTTATATATATTAGACCCTAAATGCATATTAGCAAGGAAAAAGGGAAAGAAGAAGAAGGAACAGGAGGAGTCCAAGGGAAGGAAAGGAGAAAAACTGAGCTTTTAACAAGATATCATGTTTTCAAAGGATTTCACTATTAGAGAATATTGAAGGCTACCACCCTTCCTCCACGGGGTCCTAAAAGAATAATAAGGGTTAAAACCCAGTAGGCAGAGCTCCTATTGGCTAGAATAATTTTCTGGATGTCACACCACAATGTAGGAACACATGGATAAAATCATGGAAAAGGCATCTTATACTCACAGATACAACTCTGGCAACCAACATGCATGAAACGTTACACATAAAAGGAATCTCAGAGAGTATTGTAGGGGAGGAAGAAATTTTCCTCTGCCCTTTTAAGTTTTTCTGGCTGGTTTAGAATTAAATTGACGTGAGACAGAATAACAGGAGAAAATCAAACAAAGTTTATCTTAATAGCAACTCAAACCCACAAGATCCAGAAAATTCACTCCCCAAAATAGTCTGAGAAAGCAAAGGTCTTCATTGCACAGCAGTAAGGAGGGAGCTGTGCTCCAGCCTCCCACAGGGATTTTTCCAGCACTAACAAGCAACAAAGGTTGAGAAGACAAAGGCCCCTTATGGACTGGGATCCTTTATGACAAACTTCCCTGAGAGCTAACACAGCCAGACAAACACAGTGTGTCTTGGAACCCCAGTCCATTTGACTGGTGGCCAAGATGCATGTCGCTGTGTGCGTGCTCTGGATGGTGGAGATCAGAAAGGAGATTCTCACAAAGCCAGCTCTCAAGAGATAGAGCAAGACAAAAGGAAAAACCTCATCCACTTTTTTTTCCTTATATGCACATAACAGCTTTAGCTAAGTCTTAGGTCTCTTGGAGCCAAACTAATACCTAAGAGAGATGTACCACAGGGTTGGGGACTGTATATTGTTTTTACAGTGTACCTCATCTCATGGAAGTTGTCTTGAGGTTAGGAGGTGACATAGTGTCCATCTAATCTGCTCCATGACCAACTTATTCTATCATGGGAGTCTTCTTGAGGTGATGAGCACCCTAATGGCTCTTAAATGCTCCAACCATGCTCACCATCTTGCAGCTTTTGCTTCCAAGATGTCCCTTAGCAGTATCTTTTACTTCATGTGCATATTAACCCACAGCAAAGTTTGTGGCAAGACTGTGGGGCTGGCCCAAACAACAGGCTTATAGGGTCTATGCCTGTGTCCTGCCCTATGGTTTTTCCTTTTTATGACAAATGACACTAAAGATAGAGACAAGGAAAAACAGTGACAATCTTTGGGAGGAGAAGGATCAATAAAAACAAAGAACACTCTACCAAATTTCCTAGTCACTAAGGCCAAGAAGCTAGCTTCACAAATATTTTCTCCTGTTAATCTAAATTTAGAAAAGGAAAAAACCCACCACTATTGCTTCCATTGGATGCTGCAGGCATAGATCTGGGAGACTGACATGGTAAGAACTCTTACCTCTTGCCAACAATTGTCAGAGGTCCAAGATCTCACAGCTGCGGTAGTCCCAGAGCAAGCAGCATCCAGCCAGTTAAGCTTTCCCCCAACCTCGTCGCCAACTGAAGGAGAGGAAGAAAATTTCCTCTATCCTTGTAGGTTCTTCTGCCTAGCCTAAGAATTAAATTGACATGAGACAGAATAACAGGAGAAAATCAAACAAGTTTAATAACATGTATATACATGGGAGAAACCCAGCAAACCTGAGTAACTTGCCAAAATGGCTGAAGCCACCACCTTAAATACTATCTTCAGCTAAAGACAAAAGAGGATGTTGGGAGTGGCGGTTTGGGACTTCAGAGGGGAACAAGGCATTTCACATGGAGATGGAAAGCAAATGTTTGGTAAACAAATGTTTGCCATGCCTTATAAAGACAATGGGACATGGAGAGGACTTTGATCAAATGGGCCTTGCTAGGTTCCTCCCTGTCTACCACACCTAGTTCATATTATACTATAGTTATCTATGGTGACATCTCCTTCCTGGAACAGGCCTTCTATCTTAAATTCTTTTAGGCAGTTAGGGAGAAGGTCAAAGTTTCTTCCTGAGTCTTTTGTTCTTAAAAATAATTAAGCCAAAGAGACACATTTTGCAGTAGCAAATCCTACTCCCCTACAGTATCCTTATCCAATCCTCAAACTTAGCATTGAAGGAAGGAAGAAAGGAAGGAATGAAAGGTGGGAGAGAGGGAAGGAGGGAGGAGAAAGTAAAGATGGAAAGAAGGGAGGGAGGAAGGGAGAGAAGGAAAGGAAGGAAGGAAGGAAAGAAGGGAGAAAAAGAATTGATGCTCAAAATGTGAAAGATGTGTTGAAGAACAAAGAGCTAGGGAGTTGCTGAGTCAATACTAGAATCTCCATTTCATTCCCAGTTCAGAAAATTTTTTCCACAGCTCTACTAGGATTCACTCTGTTTCAGTGACTTAGATTCAAACCCACTCATTTCTGGATGCACTGTCTGGAGAAGTTTAGTAGGTCCCCATATAGTCTCTTACTATGTTTTTTTTTCTTAACCAAATAAGACACCTGCATCTCTGTGATGTTTGATTTTCAAGCAGAAATTAAAATGTCAATACCACATGTTCTGGTGATTCTTCTGCTTAATCTCAGATCCATTTTTGGCCTTTCTGTTGCTCTGTTCTGTATATGGGGGGAATTTAACCCCATAAACAACCCAGACACCCTTCCCAACTGATTTCCACCTAGGTCTGGCTAATGGAAAGAAAATGCAGATTGGAAAGTGAGAAGAAGGGAGAAACAATGTTGTTTCCACTGATGCACTTCTTCCCACAGCCTAGAGTGGCATCTATAACTGTATCTCCCCAGGGCTCCAGCCCACTCAGAACAGCTCATCCCTTCATAGACCCAGCTCCTACAAGACAGCCCTCACCACGGCTCTAGCTCCGACCTGCATCCCCAGGTTTGGGAGCTCCTGTAACAACATCTCCTCCTGCCATCCCCCAGGCGGAGTTGGTAATGATTTCCTCCTTTTGCAGATATTGACTGACTTGCCATCTCTTGTGTGGCTTCTCAGATCTTCCTCACCTGTGTGACCATTTTCTTGTATTAAACTCTCTGTTTGAAATGCCTAGAGAGTTTGCTGCTTCTTCACTACACCCTCACGCATCTCAGTTGCTGAGCTGAAGTTTTCGCCCTTTAAAAGACACCTCTTTCTTAGCCACTGATGTCCTCTCATCCTTTCATACTCTTTCCTAGCCCATCAGTCCCCAAAACCAAGACCTCACATAAAGTGAGGTTTGTGGACAAAGAAGGAAGATGGATACCTGATCTGAGCTGCATGGTGCTCCTCTGTTTCTTTTACGGGCTACCTTATAAATGACTGCAGCCCAAGAAGAACTCAGTGTGATGAGAATGATCGATGACAGTTAATATTTACTCTACAAGTTTCTCCAATGCTCTTCTCCACACACACACACACACACACACACAAATTCCCATATCCATTTAGAATAATCACTACTTCACAAAGTTGCAAGAAACTCTGACTTTGCATTGATATCTCATTTTATTTGAAACTAGCACAATATACCTGGTGTTTGACAAACTACAAGCCAGAAAATTGTACACATATATATGCCAACTTTAAGATGATCTATGTAAACTAAGACTACACAGTAAGATTGATAATTTGTCTTACAAAATGATTCATCATGTTATTCCTTCAAGCATCAAACATCTCTAGCATATTTAAAATGTGATTTGATTTACTAAAATTCATATTATGCTAGCAAATATCTCTTACCATGAGAAAAAAAATCAACATATGAAATATCACTATATTTCAATTTATTAGGGTCCAGTTTTCTTGAGTTCAGAGTACCAAAGTCTACAATGGAAACCATCCTGCTGAAAACATTACTCAAGTTAAGATGGACTAAATAGCTGAATATTTGGGTTATGTTCCACTTTGGAGCATTTGCCTCACGGGGTTTCCTTTAAAATAACGGAGATTCATACCACAGAAGTTTAAAGGAGGAGGTGCTTTAGAACATTTGGGGTGCCAGGAGAGCCAAGTTAGGACCTAAAGATCAGATTCAGGGCACCCCATTAGAAAAGTGTTTTCCTTTGCACCAAGGAGGCGGTCATAGGAAGCTACAGCTGAAAGTATTTGCCTTCTCATTATAATAAACTTCCAGAAGCCCTCAGCACTTCAGTCAAGTCTGATAAATGTGTACTAATTTATTGACAGAGTTAGGAAAAAATTAAGGGAGGAGGCAGTACAGGGAAGTGCAGACCACTCATTTCATCCCTGTCTATTGGCTCTTCTGCAAACTGAGGAACATCCTGCTGAGAGGACTACATCCAGGAATATCCAGCAACCAACCGCACAGAGGTGAATGGGAGCCCAAAGCAGGACAGGGAAGGACTCCAGAGGAGTAGCTTCAATGGGAATGATTTTCCCAAGCGAAGATGAAACAAGACCTATTATCTCCAAATAAATGTGGGGGAGGATGAAATAGGGTAGGGAAGATGGCAGTTGGATGGTATAAGGTTTTTTCATATTTTGCACAAACGTATTAGCAGAAATCTACTTTTCCATACTGGACAATCCATGTTTTTCATGAAAACACAATAAATTAGAATATTTACAAGTGTGATGAACTACTATAAGATTTGCTACATTTATCTAATGAGAAAATCAAAGATATTGTTGGAAAGGGGAAAGTTCCCCCCCTTCTCTCCTTAGTTGTTTGGCTGGTCAAGTAATTAAAATGACATAAAACAGATTAACAATAGAAAATCAGATTTAATACATGTGCACAAGGAATTCACATAAGCATGAAAAATTCCAAAGACTGTCGGGCAAATGAGGTATATATTTCATTCTTGACTAAGAAGAATGGGCAGGGGTCTGGGACTTCAAAGGGAAAGGGGACAATTCACAGGAAGCAAAAAGAGTTAACGTTTGATCAACAAATGTTTGCGGGGCCATCCAGAAACAAAAGAATACAGAGAGGACTTTGATCAAACAGGCCTTACTAGGTTCCTCCCTGCCTGCCACACCTAGTTCATGTTACCCTATAGTTACCTGTGATGATAGCTCCTTCCTGGAACAGGTTCTCTATCTAAATTCTTTTTAGGCATTTAGGGGGAAGGTCAAAGGTTCTTCCTGAGTCTTTTGGGCCTTGATTGTTTTTTAGCTTGAAATAACCTGCTTGCCAGAGTGGCACATCTCGGGGCGACTCATTCTGAATGCCTACAGTATCAATATTTGAGGTGCATTCAAAAGTGAAAGAGCTATGGCTTGAATACTTTATCCTAATTCCATTGGTTCATCAGAGAAGATGAGCTTACTGCATGATGACTCAGCAAGTCTGTGGAAGACACATGTAGAGATCTATGTTTTTTTTTTTTAATGTTTGTCACCTTATAAATTATAGAAATTTTAAAGGTTTGAATTCACACATACAGACACACACAAATACTCTATAAATCAGGTCAACTTTCTGATAAAATTCACCCAGATCAAAATTTGGTTTACAAAATACAAGATATAACTATTCTGTATTGCTTTTACTTCCCTGTCGATACTTACGTACTAAAAACTTTGATTTGGGTTATTTCTGCATCATTTTCCATTTACCTTTCAAAGGTTAATAACTTTGTTAATTATTTTCAAATAGAAAGATGCAACACCAGAAATAATAACATTAGAGAGCAAGCTTGGAACTTGGAGATACTCATGATAATGAGAGAGATTCCGTGATTCTCGGCTTCTAACCCTGCAGCTCCATCAATGAACTTTAAAGCAAAAGAGATGACAGACCTAACCCAACCACAATTTGTAAATTGATAATAAGTAAACTTAAACCCACTAAGATATCTTTACAAGCTTATTTATGGCATTGATTTTACTGACTTCAGGGGAAGTCAAACAAGCCTAAATCTTGTGTCTTTTATGTGAAAGCCCTGACCCATAACCACAGAGACAACAACATTGACATTCCAACAGAAGGAAATTTTAAAATCACATCGCCAGAGTGCTTTGCCAAGAGCTAAGGAAAGGAGGTGTGACCAGGGAACCAGGCAAAGAGAGGGTCACAGAGGATCTGGTCAACAACTAACATGGTCTGTCAAATGTTTTTCAGACAAGAAGAAACTATGTGCTCTGTTTTGCACAGGTTGCTATCTCACAGAGAAACTTACATGTTTGCTGCAAGACCCTTGCCAAATATTCCAGCCCCAAGTGTCCTAAAGTGACCTTAAATTCATTAGCATCTTAAATTCTCCTCCTCTGGGAGGTCTGAACAGCCATATTTAGATCATGCAATGTATGTAATAGCATGTTTACCTGCTACACTTGAGCCCTAAATTGTTATCCAGTTGTTACACAGTTGTTACAAATAAACCTTGTATCTTCTGCTCTCTTATGTATAAAGTTTCCTCCTGCACTGAGCTCAGAGAGACACTGTATTGAGAGCTATCCCCAGTGTTCTCCATTGCTTGCGCAAGCAATAAAACTTTTCTTCACCTACCTCGGCCTTGGCTGTGCTTTTCGGCTCCATGATGACCAAGAGACAAACCCATTGACTTCAGTTACAGAGGGGTTTAGAGTAATATAATGAAAATTACAATCAATTAAGTAAAGTAAAATT